TCCCGATGGGGAAACCGAATATGAATCCCGATGGGAAAACCGAATACGGGTCCCAATGGGATAACCGCATACGGATCCCGATGGGGATTCCGTAGACGGATCCCGATGGGAAAATCGAATACGGGTCCCAATGGGGAAACCGCATACGGATCCCGATGGGGAAACCGAATACGGATCCCGATGGGAAAACCGAATACGGGTCCCAATGGGATAACCGCATACGGATCCCTATGGGGAAACCGTAGACGGATCCCGATGGGAAAACCGAATACGGGTCCCAATGGGGAAACCGAATACGGATCCCGATGGGAAAACCGAATACGGGTCCCAATGGGGAAACCGAATACGGATCCCGATGGGAAAACCGAATACGGGTTCCAATGGGGAAACCGCATACGGATCCCGATGGGGATTCCGTAGACGGATCCCGATGGGGATTCCGTAGACGGATCCCGATGGGGATTCCGTAGACGGATCCCGATGGGGATTCCGTAGACGGATCCCGATGGGGATTCCGTAGACGGATCCCGATGGGGATTCCGTAGACGGATCCCGATGGAGAAACCGAATACGTATCCTGATGGGGAAACGGAATACGGATCCCGATGGGGAAACCGAATACGGGTCCCAATGGGGAAACCGAATACGGATCCCGATGGGAAAACCGAATACGGGTCCCAATGGGGAAACCGAATACGGATCCCGATGGGAAAACCGAATACGGGTCCCAATGGGGAAACCGCATACGGATCCCGATGGGGAAACCGAATATGGATCCCGATGGGAAAACCGAATACGGGTCCCAATGGGGAAACCGCATACGGATCCCGATGGGGAAACCGAATATGGATCCCGATGGGAAAACCGAATACGGGTCCCAATGGGATAACCGCATACGGATCCCGATGGGGAAACCGAATACGTATCCCGATGGGGAAACCGAATACGTATCCTGATGGGGAAACCGAATACGGATCCTGATGGGGAAACCGAATACGGATCCCAATAGGAAAACCGAATACGGGTCCCAATGGGGAAACCGAATACGGATCCCGATGGGGATTTCGTAGGCGGATCCCGATGGGGAAACCGAATACGGATCCCGATGGGGAAACCGAATACGGATCCCGATGGGGAAACCGAATACGTATCCTGATGGGGAAACCGAATACGGATCCCAATAGGAAAACCGAATATGGGTCCCAATGGGAAAACCGAATACGGATCCCGATGGGGATTCCGTAGACGGATCCCGATGGGGAAACCGAATACGGATCCCAATGGGAAAACCGAATACGGGTCCCAATGGGGAAACCAAATACGGATCCCGATGGGGAAACCGAATACGGATCCCGATGGGGAAACCGAATACGTATCCTGATGGGGAAACCGAATACGGATCCCAATAGGAAAACCGAATACGGGTCCCAATGGGGAAACCGCATACGGATCCCGATGGGGATTCCGTAGACGGATCCCGATGGGGATTCCGTAGACGGATCCCGATGGGGATTCCGTAGACGGATCCCGATGGGGAAACCGAATACGAATCCCGTTGGGGAAACCGAATACGGATCTTGATTGGGAAACTGAATACGTATCCTGATGGGGAAACCGAATACGGGTCTTGATGGGGATTTCGTAGACAGATCCCGATGGGGAAACCGAATACGGATCCCGATGGGGAAACCGAATACGGGTCCCAATGGGGAAACCGAATACGGATTCCGATTGGGATACCGTAGACGGATCCCGATGGGGAAACCGAATACGTATCCCGATGGGGAAATCGAATACGGGTCTTGATAGGGAAACCGAATACGGGTCTTGATGGGGATTCCGTAGACGGATCCCGATGGGGAAACCGAGTACGGATCCCGATGGGGAAACCGAATACGGGTCTTGATGGGGATTCCGTAGACGGATCCCGATGGGAAAACCGAATACGGGTCCCGATGGGGAAACCGAATACGGGTCTTGATGGGGATTCCTGTACACTGATAAAATTTCAAAGATTGTTTCTATATGTCCTACTTTTGCAATACAAATTATATCTATGTGTCGGACGCCGTTACGTGGTGTTAGCATCTCCTGATTTTCTCTATAAATTTTCCACTTTCGACCAATTTGGCGCTAGTATCTATAAATTTTCTGTTGAAAATAGCCACTTGGCGCTACTAGCACTTAGTGTCTAGTGTAATTTGTGCAACGCATGCGCCATCATGTTTTCAAAGAGATTTTTTTAAGTGGGGAAGTCGCTGTTACTGGCGCTTAAGTCGAATAGGAATCTTTACACAAGTTTTTAGAGAAATTTTGTTCGAGCCTCCATGTCTGTTCTCTGTGGTTCATGTGAACCAAAATTTATGAAATTTTGGATTTAGGTTCCATTTTTAAACCATTTTTTCAGCCTATCAATATTGGATTCAGAGAGTAAGCGGCGGTAAGCTCCAACTCGGATTAACTTTTAATACCGCCCCTGTTTGGATGATCTGAGAATTGTTTGTATAGCGAATAACTGATGTCGACATCAAAGCAGCCGGACATTCTTGATCGTTATTTAATCCGAGGATAATACCGATTGGAGCTTAGCCATAAGTGATTTAATGAATACGCTGATTGCGACTCTCTGAAAATTAAATCCACAGGTTTTATACGTCAAACTCATCCTTTGCAACGTCCTCTTGTAACTTAAAAATACAAAATGTCATCATAACGTATAATGACTTCATAATTCTGAAAAAAAACATGTTTCCGGGTGGAATAAGTTTCATCAAGCCTTATGATGGTACCCAAGATTGGCCACAAGCAGTGGCGTTTCCTTAACCTCAATCTACCTGCGCACCAGCTCTCAAAACAAACAATTATCAAAATATTGTTTGCAATGGATGGATATCGAGTAACCTAGAAGATTAAGTGTATTTTTCAACCGATTCGAGTATGAATAAGGCATTAAATCTGGTTTTGTATAACAAAGTTGCGCCAACTAACTCGGTCCCTGGCTGCTTATCTCCAATTTCTCGAGCGTCCCACACTTCCTACATCTTGCTCCACTTGGTCTAACCACCTAGCACGCTGTGCTTCTCTGCGTCTTGTACCGGCCGGATTTGAGGAAAAACACCATTTTTGCGGTATTGTTGTCCGGCATTCTTACAACGTGTCCCGCCCATTGTACCTTTCCACCTTTAGCGACTTTCTTGATATTGGGTTCGCCATAAAGTTACGCCAGTTCGTGGTTCATTCTTCTCCTCTACACACCATTTTCATATACCCTGCCAAAGATGGTCCTAAGCACGCATCGTTCGAAAACTCCCAGTGCTCCTCAAGCATTGTCCATTGTCATATTTTTCATGCACAATAATTTTGTTTATTATATATTTGCAGTTCGTCAATAAGGTAGAAGACTGGCAGCCCAAAACTTTCCGCATTTTTGGATCATCTGTAGAACAGGCAGAGATCTGGAGGCACAGCGATCACATTGTCATGATTGTCTGGTAGTTCACTCAAAAATGCTATAACAATCGCCAAGCTTGCTGTAATGTCACCAAGTGCCTCGTCACCCACGAATAGGCGCCTATGTCAGTGGTCTAACAACTCTTAGCGCGCTAATGGCATAGTTCCCCTGCCGCATAGAGAGTTGCCACAATGATATTAGGTTAGCTAAGGTCAGTTAACTGACTGGTGGGAAACGGGAGCTTAAGCAATGGCTATTCTTTATGCATTTAAGAGATAGTCTACCAGAATGGATGACTTTTTTTTGTACAATTTTATGTTTTCTGATGGTTTTGGTTGTGCAAAACATGAGAATTAACTTTTTCAATACTTTCAATTGTACAAAGCATTAGAGCTAGAAACAAGATCTTGAAAACACTACACACCTTAACTGGTAGTTTGCTAAAAAAAATGCTGCAACAATCGTCAAGCTCGCTGTAATGTCACCAAGTGCCTCGTCACCTACAAATTGGCGCCTATGTCAGTGGTCTAACAACTCTTAGCGCGCTAATGGCATAGTTCCCCTGCCGCATAGAGAGTTGCCGCAATGATATTAGGTTAGCTAAGGTCAGTTAACTGACTGGTGGGAAACGGGAGCTTCAGCATTGACAGTTATGTACGCATTTTTATTATGTTATCTAACAACAATGGTGTGTAGTGTTTACACGATCATGTTTCTAATTCTAATGTGTTGTAAATATAATTGAAAGCATTTGAAAAGTAAGATTCTAGTGTTTTGTATATCTAAAAACATTAGTAAACATCTACATTTGAAAACATTCAAACAACGTTTACTTTAAACGTTTTGTACATCTGAAAACATCAGAGAACAACAAACACGAAGTACAATTAAAAACATCCGAACAACGTTTAGTTCTAACGTTGTGTACATCCGAAAACATCCAAAAAAAGTTTGGTTCCAGCATCGGGAGGCATCTACGTTAGAAAACATCAGAATACATTTACATATAAAAACATTCGAACAACGTTTAGTTCTAACGTTTTTTACATCCGAAAACAACCGAAAAACGTTTGATTCTAACATCAGGAAACCTCTACATTAGAAAACATCAGAAAACGTTTACATATAAAAACATCCGAAAAACGTTTAGTTCTAACGTTTTTTACATCTGAAAACATCCAAAAACGTTTGTTTCTAACATCAGGAAACATCTACATTAGAAAACATCAGAAAACGTTTACATTTAAAAACATCCGAACAACGTTTAGTTCTAACGTTTTGTACATCCGAAAACATCCTTAAAACGTTTGGTTCTAATGTCAATAGATTGAAATTTTTGACGTCAGACCGACATTAGAATGGCAAAATTTTGTTCCAAAATTTCTGATGTATACACCATGTTACGTTGCTTAAATACAACTAAATCATAATGTTTTCTAATGTTTGACATCAGGCATACATTTGATTTCGATGCTGATGTAGACATCAGAATCAAACGTTGGGCTAATGTAAATTTCTATTCGGGAGCTCACAAAACATGAACTCGATTCAAAGAAATCCACCTTGTGTCAACGGGTTGATACATAATATCTATGGACTAAAAAAGTTATGGATAGTTCTATCCGAAGAACACTCGTTTAACTTCTTGCGAACCAACAAGTTAAATCAAGATCCACTCGAGAACGAGTTTTCGTGCGTAAGGCGGGCCTGCGGTAACAACGATACGCCAAACGCTCAGCAATTTGGAACTGCTCTAAAATATAGTTGCATAAAAAAAACATGCTTTCAATAACAAACACGAATTGTGAAGACGACAACCACGTACCTATAGCGTGTAATGAATCTGACCAAAACGATCTTCTTGAAAACGACCCTTTGGAAGGATGTGATGAATTTGTATTACGGCCGCTCGATCCTCTTGAAGAAAATGTACCAGTTCCTGATGTATTGGAAAGAAATGCATTGTTATACGTCACTGGATATTCAATATCTAAGCTTACTCACAAAAAATGTATTAAAAAGCTAAACCAGTCACAGGCTGACGACGCACACGATTACACTTTCTGCTTGCTGAAAAAAAACCTCAATTCGAAACACTTCATAGTTCCAAGTAAAAATGCGTTAAAAATAGGTCTGGATGTTCTGAACGCATTCAAGCAAAAGTTCCAGATATTATTGAATGACAATAGGAAAGGTATTAAACTACGACTGAAAGAATATATCGAATACGATCAATATGAATCCGTGATGTGCTATAACTGTTTCAATAAGGTTATCAATAGACTCTTTAATACATTCATTAAAGCAGAGGTTCGAAAAATTCAGCAGAAAAATCTTAACAATAAAAATACCAAAAGAATGAAAAAGAACACAAAAGCCAGGAGGCTGGGTATCCCGAGTAATGTACAAACATCCAGAAAGAATATGAAATCTCGTACAACGAAATCGACCTGTTCTACATCCACTACACGAAATGATAGCAATGTCCATAGCCAACCATTTGAAACAGAATATGTAAACTGTCCTGATGATGGATTTGAACATAATACGGAATATGTTAATGAAGAAAACCCTCTTGATGTTGACGGCGAAAATAATAGCCAATCAGGCGAAGATCAGGAAAACCAAAAAATGAACGAATGCATTAAAGCGCTAGAAGAATTACTGAAACATTTACCAGAACAACGAAAAATTGAAGTCGAGAAAAGGTATCAGTTTAAGCGAATTTTTAAGATAAATTTTAGTATTTTTTTCGCTAACGCTCTATTTTTTAGAGATTGCTTCCGATTAACAATAGCTGAAATAAACGACACATTTGCAGAATTCAAGCCTGAACTCCAATGTATTTTCGACAAGTATAAAACATTTTCCAGTTATCAATTGGCCAAAATTCACACGTTGGCTTCATTTGAACAAGTCTGTCGAATTTTTACGGATGACCAACTTTACGCGATGGTATTATATCTAGACAGCCAACTGGTTTCACCTGAAGATACAGGATTGGTAATGCATTTAAAAATAAACGTTTTCCATTCACCCTCACTAAACTCCGATTTTTTATTTCATTTTTCAGTTCACCGACGTTATTGACGACGTTCTCGTGTATGAATGGGCAATAAGAATCTTTACTAAAATTTATCGTTTTCCTAATCGTGAAGAAGCCCTTAAACATATATGTACAACTACAAGAAGAGGCGGAAATTTACAATTGACATATAGAAGTAAGTAGACAACATTTTTAATGACCCCATTCGGGTACTTTTTTATTACCGTGTCTTTTCTTACCGTGATGATATTTTGATCTCCGACTTTGCTCGGGTAAAATATACACTTCGACAGTGAGCATTCATAAGGGCGTATACGCGATGATCGATTCTCTTCATCGAATTTCTCTTTGCATTGCTACAGCTAAGCGAAACAATTTTCTAGAATTTGTTCAAAGCAGAGTTGTAACAAGTTGTATTAGCTATCAAAAGCAATAGCAAACGTACCGAGAAACGTTAAATCTAGCGAGTTATTAACAAAAGAGAAAATCGATGAAGAGAATCGATCATCGCGTATAGGCCCTTATGCATGCTCACTGTCGACTTGTACCTCCCATACACGGCGAATGAGAACGACCCCAATTTGAGTTTAGTTCACTCATAATCGCCAAAAGTGCAGGAACTCAGCGATGAGTAAAATTTGTCTCATGTTTTCCCAGGTTTTTCCAGGATTTACCGGCAGATTTTTTAGGGAACCATGAGACAAATTTACTCATCGCTGAGTTCCTGTACTTTTGACGATTATGAGTGAACTAAACTCAAATTTGGGTCGTCCTCATTCGCCGTGTATAAAGCTTTCATATAGTTAAAATCAATAAAGAACATTTTTATCGTTGAGGTCAAGGTTCAGATCCATAAATCAACATTAGATTCCCTTCGCCCACTTACATTTTTAATTATGCAGCAGAGTTGCTCTCCTTAGTTGTTAGATGCTTTTTAAGGTGTTTCGCTGTGAGATCCTTATTCTCGTTTCCACTTCGAAACTTTAAGTGCACAAATATCAGCTTCTACGACACGTACCACAATGAAACTGTTACTCCACGTTTGCTGTACTGCAGCATACATCAAGTAGCAATTTCATGTGAAATGGGGCATTAATTGCCAAGAGTTGTGTGAATGAAAATTCGAAGTGGAAGAGCATTGTATAACCTACGTGGCGGACTCTACAAGGAATCACCTTAAATATTCCGTAATGTAACATGGGTTAATGGTACACAGAAAAAAAAAAGTTGTTGAATATTACACCTAAACAGCTGCACAGAGATCATTCCGCCGGTTATGTAATATTACGTTGTACGATGTACATCGATTTTGCGAACAAAATTACGTCCATTGATGTAATATTGTATCTGCTTTTTTCTATTACATCATTATTTCATACATCAGCTTGAATTACGTTCGATATTACATTTTTTTCTGTGTAGTCTGACCCTAAATAGATACTTCCAGCACCATCACCATTCACATCGTCATCATAATTTCCAGCCAAACCCGACAGCTGCTCCCCCAGGAAAGAAGACGCACATCGTACGCAACAACTACAGCATCCGCAACGGGGAGGTTTTCGTGGAAAACAAGCTAAGTGGAACGCCAAAACTACACCAGCAGCAGCAGCAACGACCCAGGGAGGACGATACCGATGACATCACCACCGAAGAAATGAAGGACTGGTTATCGAAATACGTAATACTACATGCTGTGAATGAAGCGGAGCACCCGCAAAAATAACCTCATCTCGCAGAAGAATGCCAACGTAACAACAAATCCTTCGGATATGCTGAGCAATAAGTTTGGACCGCTGCCTTCGCTTTCGCCGCCGAAAGTGTACGTCAGCGATCGGCCCGATATTCGCCATGAAGATCACCGAGAAGAAGTGGGATATTCCCGCCGTACAACGTACCATGGTTACATGGTTTAGATCGCCACGGGCTCTAACCCATCCGGAAGCAACTTCTAAACTAATGTAAACTGTCGTAAGGATGCAAATAAATAAGAGTTTATAAGGGAATTTCTGCAATCGGTTGTGTTGGTGCTTATTTATTGGTTGAAATGTTATGAAAGAACATATATTTAGATGTATAGTTTTTATGCAAATATTTATTGTGAAGTATGCGGTTTATGTATTCGCATAACCACAAACCTATTTTGGGCCGATCAAGCAGAAAACATCAAATAAATCCATGATTTCAGAGTTAACAATTATGGGTTTGGTAAGATACTTTAGTCAATTAGCTATTGAACAAAGTCAATGAGAATGCGTGATTTGAAGCTTTGCACCCATAATTCACAAAAACAAAAGAAGCGCTCCGTTCGAATCAATTTTTATCTTCATCCGATAGGCCGAAGTGAATTCATTGGCGTTTCAATGCGTTAGCCGAGTTTAGAATCCGTAGGCCGAGTTTGGCATCAAGAAGCAGTGTTAGACTTTTGACTCGTATGTGCAATCTTCCAGCAAGCAAGCGCATTGCACTAATATGTGTAGTTTATGCTGAAAAAGTAAAATTTATTATACAGAATCCAGAATCCAAAATCAACTCAGGCACATTTGATAACGGCACAAAAGCATTTGTAAATAAACTTTCTAAGGCCCTTTACACGCGAATACCAATACCACTTTCGGAAAAGTGATAGTTGCCCCTATCCGATGATGTTGGTTTGCGTGGGCGTACTTTGGTTCGCGTGTAAAGGGCCTTAGAAAGTTTGTTTACAAATGCTTTTGTGCCGTTATCAAATGTTATGGCTGAACTAAACTTACCACCTTCCGGCATCGGCATCGAATTCCATCCACCGCCTCGTGACAAACTCCAATCAGGTACCTCAGTGTTTCCAGCAATGCCTCCAAATGCAGTAGGTCCTCCTTCCTATCACCATCCTCCGACTCCCCGAAAAGCGTCAACAGTTCCGCTACGGAGGAGTTCTGTCGATGTCTTCTCAGTCGCGGTTGACTCTAACTTTGGTTAGAAGCACGGACTGAAGAAATCTAGCAACAATGGCAACAAGCGCGAGTCATTGGCAGCTCAACATCGTTTACTTCTAAGCAAATGTTAACCCGATGTGTTCACCCCTAATCATTTTGGCATATGATCTTTTGTTATACAAAAGAAAAGCAGATAAAAAACTAAACGTCATAATGACATGCTGTTTGACAACAGGCTCTCCCTTTAAATTTTCGTTAGAGAAAAAGAGATAACATACGGTACTTCCTACTTTAAGCTAGTACATATGAGTAGATAGTGTTGCCGTGAGGTACACTCGAAAACTTCAAATGTAAGTGCGTCAAATCAAATTTCGAGCCGCTCCGTCTGTCACTTCGTTTGTGCTTATACTTTCCATAAGACAAATCACATAGGTCCTATAAGAATGCATAAAAGGTATGTGTGACCGCTTATACATTTCATTTGACACATGATCTTCATTAACTATTTGCAAGGCGCCTGCTTATTAGGTGACTTATACATTTTATGAACAATCAGCAATAGAAATTTGCCAAAAGGTATAAGGAGATTTCTATCCGTGTGGAACACTTTGTGCTCGGCCATTTCCTTGTATATCTGAAATTAAGCAATTGAAAATCATTAAATTTCATCTGAATTTCATAATGTACAGCGCCTAGATATATTCCAAATAAATACTTACGTTTCAATACTCATTTTATTAGGCACAGATAGCATAAAAAATCCATTTTGAAGGCCTCGTAAGATGCTTTGTGTTAGACAATATTCACTATTGATTAAGATAATTTTCACCCAATAATGGGTGAAATAATACTCATTTTTCTTCCCTGAAGAGCGTTAGCGTTAGCGTTGTTATGATATACTTCGTAGATTTGATACTAGCGACACTCACGTCTCTTCTGAAATTCTCAGTTAGACTACTTTCAGGAATAATGCTGAGGAGTAAACATTGGTTCCAATCTAAACAAGAGTAACAGAAGCATGACTGTCGCTATTCCTGGCCACGCCCATCTTTACCATAAATTAGGGATAGGGAAGGAAATGTTGATGTAGTACTTACTTAACGAGAGGCCACCGACTTAGCGACACCCTCATAAGTGCTACGGAGTTGGAGGGTTGGGTAGGGTATTCGGTTAGGATTCACCTCAAGTTGGCGATGCAACCAAAAGTATGTATTGTTTATTTGTTGTTTATTTAATCTCTCGATAACCGGCTATCGAAAGAACATATTAATTTTGTTTAGTGATAATGAATTTTAAGAGTCATGACGGAGAGCTTGGGATTAAACCCATGATTTTCTGCTCAGTAAGTAAAAACGGTCCCTCCAGGGTCATCGAGCATCTCAGAACCATAACACTTCGCGACAATACAGGACTACGTCTTCCTTGATATGCAGATAGTTTCCGAGGTTAATGTTCAATATCAAATATACAAATGATGGTGGCGATTTATTGTGCTGTGGAAGAGCTTGGGATTAAATCCATGATTTTCTGCTCAGTAAGCAAAATCGATCCCTCGAGGGTCATCGAGCATCTTATAATCCACAGCGCTTCGCGTCAAAGTAAGAATATATGGATGAACTATCTGTTATTGAATAACTATTATTTACGATAATTCCATGAAATAAATAAAATATAAACTACAAACAAAACGTGACTGCTAAATTTGTTATTGTTATTGTTATTGCTCAGTTCACACCCTGGCAGGCTACTGCCTACCGATCTGCACTTGAGCCAGGCATGAACCTACGGAAATTTAGTCGTGGCCTATGCTAGACCGTATAGCATAACGACTTTCCTTTCACTAGCAGGCTTTTTGGTCCCACTAGCGTCAGATTAGGGGATAGTATTTAATAGATTAAAAGAATAAAGAAGAGAGATAGAGGATGTTGTTGTTTTGCTGAAAAAAAAAGAAATAAAAAAAAAATAAAAATAAAAAATAAACACGTTGGCTTGTTGTGCAACATCAAGTTTGTTCGCTTTCATTCCGTTCCAAGGGGCAACGTCCATCGTCGGCGTACTCAAATACCTGGGAACATCCAGAGGTGCACAGGGCCAACGTGAAAGACTTCCATTCTGGGCAGCTGCTTGACCTGGGCCCAAGTCAAATTCCTATCGGCTTGCTTAATT